ATAAACAGGCCTCTCCGGTGGGGATGTTACAAATGGGGGCCGTTGGGGCAGGAAGGCTAGTGGTATGTGGGAAATCTCTGTACCTCTCAGTTTTGCTGTGAATTTAAAACTACTTTAAAAAATAGTTTATTAATTTAAAAAAAAGATAACGCTGTGACAAAATCCAAATAAGGTTTGTAGTTTGGTAAATAGCAGCATACCAAAGGCAATTTCTTGAGTATTGATAATATTCGATGATTAAAGAAGATGCTACCATTGGGGAAGGTGGGTGACAGATACACAGCAACTGTCAAGACTTTTTGTGAGCCTAAAATTATTTCAAAATAACAATTTTTTAAATAATAAAAGAAAGCACGTTTTATTAATGTGCAAGGGAACCTCAACTGACTCAACTTGCCATGTAATTGAGAACCTTTCTGTCAACAGTCTTGGGTTTATAGAGCCTCCTAGGGAAACTTCTCCAAGGTGACCGCCACCCACTGACCTCACTGCATGACAGAACGGGGTGTGGCTGGTTGATTTGCAAGAAAGCAAAGAGCTGAATAGCTAGGCTGAGGCAACAAGCCTGTTTTTGTTTAGAGACGCCTGGCTCAGGGGCAGCTCCTGTTGTTCCAGCATCTTCTTTGGCACTTTGTAAGGCTGACCATATCAGCGCCACCCTAGGGAGAGCATTTTAATGACAGAGCAAGAAGCAGCTCTATCTGTGAGTTCTCAGTGGTTTCATGGGTTTTGCCCAGTGTTTTAACGTCCTTTACATTTTAGGATGACGTGGCAATGCCTTCAGCGTGAAGATGTCACAGCAGGGGAACCTGTACTAGCAACTGGGAACAACCGAACTGTCCAGTTATATGAGAGGAATAGTTAATTAAACTCTGACACTCACCCATAAGCTGCCATTAGACGTAGTTAATAAGTATATTTTCATGGAATGGAATAAAGCCTATGAAATGATGACAAACAGAAGGCAATGTTTATAATGCCTACAGCATGCAGGCTCTCCAGTCCTGCCTTTGAGGAGGAGGTTATTGTCTGACTCAGAAATGAAGTGTTCTTAAACCATCTGGCCACTCATCTAGGCCACATTCTCCAAGAGAGCTTCATCAGTGGTAAAGTGGACATTCTCATCCCCATCAAAAGAGGCTCATCTACATCACAGCATGACCTCAATCAGGTAAAAAAATAATAATAATAATATATCCAGAAATTCTACATGGGACCAAAAAGTATGTTCTAAATCTTATTTAGTGAAGACATATTACTTTTACTTTTAAAATAAATATATAAGTAAAAACATGTAATTTTAAAAGGCAATATAGAAGCTGGCCTTTATTAAAGCAGTGTTTCCTGACACAAATTGTATGTTGTAAATTATGCATCTAGATCTAGAAAAGCAAATTTGTTTCATCTTGCAAGGCAAGTGTAATAGATTAGCAGAGTCTGCATGAAGGCTCTGAGGCCTCATCTAGGATGAGTACAACAGAAAGGTTTGAAATCTTGATGTTTGTTGTTGGCATGAAAAGGGAATGTAGGAGTATGTATACTCAGAATTTTCTGAATTTGATGAAAATAATCTACCACATGGTAGATCTGAGTGGAAGAAAACAATGGTAGGAGACAGCAGCAAAGTAATGCCCGCCCACCCAGACGTCCTTGCCCTAATCTCTGGAACCTTACATGGCAAAGAGGAATTCAGACTACAGGTGGAATGAAGGTTGTTAACCATCTGACCTTAGATAAGGACACTATCCTGGGTTATCCAGGTGCACCCACGGGAATCACAAGGGTCCCTGCAATAGAGGAAGGAGGCAGAGGAGAGCCAGACAAGGAGACAGGGAGGCGCTGCGCTGCTGGCTTTGAGGACGGAGCAAGGGGCCAGGAGCCGAGAAAGGCACATGGCCTCCAGAGGCAAGAAAAGCCAAAGAAATGGTTTTCTCCGAGAGCCTCCAGGAAGAACACCAACCTGCCATCACCATGACTTCAGCTCAGTGAGTCCTGTGTTGGAATCTTGTACAGACTGTGAGATAATAAATGTGTGTTCCTGTAAGCTACTAAGCTGGGGGAAATCGGTTACAGTGATCATAAAAAACTCCTACTGGGGCAGACAGAGAGGGAAGGGAGAGAGCAGTTACTACCGTGAGGAGGGGGGGCGGCAGGATCCACTTTGTCTGTGGTGTCAGCCCCCGTCAGCTGGGAAGCATGCCTACAGTCACGTTTAACAAGAGCACCCTAACTACCGTGTAGGATGAGAGAAGTCAAGAGACTCAGAGGTTCTTAATCGGGCCTGAATTTCATTTCCAGTTCAGGTACCACTCAGTAGGGAGGATGCTTACATCCACAGGCACCCACAGGAGACCAGAAAGGACCCAGGTCCAGCTGAGCCTGGGGGCTCCCAACGCCCTAGCGGACGGCAACAGTGTGATGGCAGGAAGAGGCTGAGAACTACACACGAGAGCGACACCTTGAATCAAACCATCCCAATCCATTTCCTCTGCAGAAACCGAAGATTCCACAAAACTTAGTAGAAAACACTGAGGATCTCAGGGCAGCGACTGTTCAACTGTCTGGTTGGGTAGGAAAGGAAAACGCTCCACCCTGAAAACCCAGGAATGAAGGAAAATTCTAGTTCCAATTCTGGAATAGCAAGAACAGTCGTTACCCTTGCCAGGTCTAAGTTTCTTGTGCACAATGTGAGAGTGGCCTGAGCTCTCCATTATCGAGCACATAATTTACTGGTCTAAGAAAATCGAGGATCCCCCAAAGAAACACATCTTTGAGTATGAAATGTGAAATAAAGTTCTTAAGTTTAATTATGTACCAAATACGCTTAACACAGAAGAGCCTCCTCAGCTGAGGTACTGTGACATTCCCAACAGGTGACCTGCTAAGCGAATCTTACCTAAGAAATGCCTGTTCAGGGCAGACACTGAAGCAGCTGCGTAAGTCAGTTTTTCTACCTCCCCCTCCTGCCCACAATGAGTAACTGAGATGACAGTGAGAAAAGGTCAGGCCTAGGACTCAGAGGTGAAGCCCCAGTTCTGGTCCCTTCACTTCCTGGATATTTAAAGTACGTAAGCCCTTAACCTCTCAGAGCTACCTGATTTCTCAGCTATAAGAAAAGAGCACGAGAATTGATTCTCACAACGCTGTTCTAAGCATCAGAGGAGCTTGTGGATGGGGAGGGGCCTTGCTCACCTCAGAAAGGGTGACAACACAGGTTGGTCAATATTATAACAGCAGCTGAAATCTGTGGGTATGCACATGGCTGAAAAGATTAGCAGGTGATGAACTAACTTCTCTGGGGCTCAGGTTCCTTATTTGGCAAATAGGTGTGACAGCAGCTCCTGGCGGGGAAATCAGAGTTGATGGGTGAAGTTCCTGGCACAGTGCAGGCATACAGTTGGTGTTCGATAAATGCAGCTGTGGGGACCAAACGTCCCTTCCACATTCCACCACTCTCTGAGATTTAGTGTGGACACAATTCAACAAACCCTGCAGAGCATCGTGCTTTCCATCTCCCTGTGTCTACACAAGCAGCAGCAGCAGCAATTTTAAGGGTTGAGCTGCCAAGTGCAGGGCAGAATATTTATTAGACAAATTCATTGGACCACAGTTGTTAATAATCACACCACAAGCAATGGCCAAGTGGCTGTCACTACCTACATTAAAGGAACATCGAGAGACATTAAAAGAATTGGGAGAGTGCCACCTCCTGATGCTCGCCACACATGCCGGGCACTGAGGGCACTCTGAGCACCAACTCCGGCCTCTTCTGACACCTGCCAGGTGGGCATCACATACCTGCTCTATCAGGGGCTTTACCTGAGGCAATCCAGGATCTGCGAGCACACACATCTGTCCTTGAAGCACACACTCTTTCCTCTAAATCACCCCAGTTCTGCCTGGTAAGAGCTCTGCACATGCCCTTTCTCTGGACTGCATCCTTACACTCTGATCCGGGGCTTGGTTTCCAAAGGACAGAGAAATGTCATGCCTCTGGGAGGAGAAAGCATGCCATATACTGAGTTATGCCTTGGAATACCCCACTAGGGTGCCTGAAAATGAAGGGAGCACCCAAAACAATGAGAGGAAGCTCTCTCCTCATTCATTTTGAAAAGCGATGCACCTCCGTCTGGCTCATGGCCTCTGCCAGCCGAGCTGCTTACCTTGAAAGAGGCGTGCTGCTCCATGTGCCGCAGCAGCTGTGGCTTCTGGGCCGCCGTGTAGTCACACACTGTGCACTTGAACTGCTTCCCTGGAGAGAAGGGAGGAAAAGGTGAGTGTCGTCAGGCACAGCTCCTGTGTGTGAATGAAGCGCCAGGCATGGAGCCAAGCGCACGGAGATGCTCCTTGTCCAAAATCTCAGAGGGGAACAAGCAAGGAGGTGCAGAGATTGCAATGCAGCACACTCAGTCTACCATGGAGGGGCCACCACGGAGGGACAGGAATGGCCAGCTCTGCCTGGGAAGGTCCCACGAGCAGTGACACATGAGCAGGCGCCTAAAGAAAGGGTCAGGGTGTGTTCAGCTGACTAGAGGAGAGAAGCATCAAGAGAGGGAGGCTCCCCTGGGTGGGGCACAGAGGCCTGGACCCTGGGGCAGCCAGGAAAGTGGAACAGCTGGGTCTTCCTTCCGGGACCTAAAGCGTGAGGTCTGGAGAGAGTCAGGAGCTGCCTTGAAGAGGCTGTGGGGCCTGCGGCACCTCTCTAAGCGTGGGTGCTGGCTCTCCTGAGGACCAGGAGAACCTGCAGAATGCCATTCAGCGAGGCAGCAAGATCTGTGCTGTGGAACTCCTAACTCGGGTAGGAGTGTAAAAGGAGGGGCTAAAGGGATGCTAGAAAGAAAACTACGGGGAAATGTGCAACAGCGCTCTCTGCAGAAGACTGATGCTTGAGCGACACAACAGCATTCAATGATGGGGGAACAGGCCCACGTTAAAGCACATTAATGGACACAGGGGCACACTACACTTTTTACCCCTTTGTTAGTATAAGTAAAAACGCAACTTAGAAAAATGCAAACACACAACCTAATATAAATATGACCTACTTCTGGTAGCAGCAAAGTGTTCACCAGCGACTTGTAGTGGCACAAGCCTCCTCAAAGGGCCACGACCACAGCCACTGCATGTGGTGCCCCACAAACACTGGCTCCTGGGGACCCCTCACACCTTTCCTCAGACAAGCCAAGTGAAAAAAGCTGTCCCCTCTGAGCCCCCGTGCTCCCTTCCTAAGCGTTCTTGAGCCCAGTTGCGAACTGGCTGATGGCACCAACTCCCCAGAAACCTGTTCTCACCAAGGTAACCAATGCGTGCCATCACGCTCCCAGTGCAGATGCCCACCCTTGCTGTATGTGGCTCTGCTAACTCTCTGGGATCCTCTGCTCGCTGAATCCACAACACTACTGCCTCCCCAGGCCCTTCTGACTCTTCAGTCATGTCTCCCGTCTACATCTTTTATATGCTGATGTTCCACAACCTTCGGGCCTGCACTCCTAATCTTCTTATCCTTGCACTTTCCCCCTACAGGCTTTTGTAAACCTTTAATGCCAAAATCTGCATTTTTTCCTTTTACATTCTCTTACATCTTCCACTTTTTTTTGAACCTGAGATTTGAGAATACAACTGTCTGCTGGACTGCTGCTAAGCTGTCCTAAACTGGACTATCTTACACATCAAATGGGTTCCACCTCCTGCCTTCCTAGTTTGACACCCACCTGATTGCCTAAGTCAGACCTGGTAGCCTTCCTGAACACCTCCTGGACCCTAATTTCACTCATCCTATTTTTTTCAGCACCTGACTTCATCTCCTAAATACTTCTCTATTTCTTCTGTTTCTGATACCTCCACACTGGTTTAGGCCCTCGTCATTTTTTTTTCCTGGACAATGCTAATAGCCTCTAAACTGGTTTCCTTGTCTTCAGATAACAGCCCATCCATCTATGATCCATTCATCCAGCTACCCATCCACCAACCATCCGTGCACCCACCTACCCACTCTCTCTCTCTCTCTCCACCGTCCATCCCTGTCAACCCACTTGCTCATCCATTCATCCATGCTGATGGCCCACCCTCCATGCAGATAGTCTAACATATAAAGCCCCCCAGCCCTTCCTGCACAGCTGCCAGTGACTCCAACTACAGAGCGACGCTGAGGTTCCAGAGCGCCGCACAGAAGGCCCTCCGGACCAGGACCGACTCTCCCCACCCGACCCCTCTGGCTCCCTGGTTTGCCTTCCCCTCTGTATTTTAGGCTCTATAACACAGGAGCCCTTGAGTTCTAGGAACATTGCTCCATGCTGTGCAGTCTCAGAGTCCTCAGCATCTGAACAACAGCTCTCGTAACTGGGCTGCGAGCCAGCAAGCCCACTGCATGCTCCCAGATCCACTCCCCACATACTTCTATCCATACCCCAACTGTGCAACACTGTGATCACCCACTCACAGCCTGGGGCTGCTGCTGGCTGCCCAAGGGCAGGGACCACTTACTCATTTTGACACCCCCAGCGCCTGAGTGCATGGTGAACACAGTCTGTGTATTTTACTCAACTGAACTGGTCAAGAAACAAAAAGGAAATTCTGTAATTCTTACATGAATAATACTTGCAATAGGAGCAACAAAAGGAAAACAATAGTATAAATATATTAATATTACAATTGTACCTCTCATTCCAGGTGAATGAACCCCAATTCTAGATTCTACTAATTCTGCAAGTCCAAAGTATGGGGAAAACTTTTCCCTGTGTAAGGCAGACAAGTCATAATTAGAAAGCAATAAACACTTTTCTTAAATACAGTATAACCTTTTATCAAACATATGGTCACACATTTCTACACATCTTGGACACCATCTCTGCTACCCATACTTCTCCACTGATGGGTGACTTGCAATAAATCTGTCATTATTGTGCCAGGCAGCCTAAACAAAATGATTTCTGGTTCTCCACCACCACAGTGGGGGGAGGAAAGCTGACAGAGCCATTCTCCAAGCTTAATATTTTCACTCACTGCCATTACACTTGGATCAAAGAGTAAAAGATTAAGTGCTATAAAAAGTACTCTGAAATGAATAAATGGAATCTCCTCATTTAAGATCAAGAGTCAGCCTTTTATGGATATACTCCCAAGGCTGTGCAAGAACGAAGGAAGAAAGCCAGCGCCCTAAAAGCCACACCTCCCTGTGGTGTCAGAGCCAGGTAATAACTGTTACCGATGTTTTCAGCAACTACTGACAGCCCTTATTAAACAGGCCCGGGAGAGCACTTACATAATCTTTTGCTGCCTAATTAAAATAATGCAATGTAGAGCCATGACTAATTATAAAAGGGCAATGCTTTGTGACTATCAGACTTTTTTATCAAGATACTCCTGAGAACTACAGGGGAGCTGACTGGAAAGGATGTCATTTATCCGAGGCTAGAGTGACCTTGAAGGGCTGGCAGATGAACATTAAGTGGCTATATGTGGATGTGACTCACATAGCAGCTCAGGAAAAGGGAAGAATGACTAGAAAGAAAAATACCGAGAATTTTTTTAAACTTAATCCCTTTTTACACCCCATGCCTTGCTCTACCCACTGAGCCACTTACTGCTCATCAGCAGCTATACTGCGTATAATCTCACCCGTGTACCCCAAAGCCTGGGGAGGAGGGCAGTGCTACCCCCTGATGGAGAAGAACTAGTATCAAGAATCTGAGCAACTTGCCGGGTCATGAGGTGGCTGGTGGAACGGCCCAGACTCTTACCCCAAAGCCCTTGTGCACAGCCACGTAAGAATCCCATCAGCTAATATGGGCATGGCACAGTTTCACCACAGGCCTATCTATACCAAGTACACATGAAGGCCTGTCATACAGGATGCCAGCCGTTAGGAAGGGCTGCCCAAGAAGGGCCGGTGGAGGGGGAGGTGTGTTCTCTTTCTCTTTCTGACTCTGCTCAGCTCGCCCTATGAGACACTGGCTTCCTCTTCTGTGCTACTCAGCAGCCCCATTAGAAAAATGAGGGTGGGAGGGCCCTGCCTGCTACAAGGATGGACTCAGACTGGGCAGCAAACACCCTAAAAGTAGTCCCCGGAGAGACGAGGCTGAGGGCACATGCTGGTGACCTGGCGTGAACCCTCCTCCCCCACTGGGCACCTGGGAGAGCTACAAGCAGTTCCCTCAACACCTACCTCTTTGAGCTCCCTGACATGCTCTGGGATGATCCAGAGAGAGGCTAACTAAGTCAGCCTAGGAAAAGACACCTTCAACATAAAGAACAAGAGCAGAGTAGGGGAAATGAAGAAGTGCAAGTAGTGACCTTATCAAAGAGCTTATAGGAGGCGCCCTCATTCCGCCCTCAGCAACGGCTCTCGCCTGACCTCCCCCCAGGGCCAACCTTGAGCTCTACAATGTGGACAGGACCCTTGAGGGTGCGGCTCCCTGCTCCCACTCTAGCTCACCACCCCGGCCATTCCATGGGCGCAGCACACCCACACCACCTCCGGGCCTTGACCTTGCCATTCCAGGGCCTGGGGTTCCCTTCCCAGACACCCGCCGCTCTGCTGGCTCATTTCCCTCACATCCTCATCCAAATGCCATCTGCCTGAGTCCTCCAGGACTGCCCGTTTATGAGAACCACCCCTGCTCCGATTCAGTTCTGGCATTCCTCATCTTGTAGTGTTTTTGAATTCTAATTGAACTGTTCCATATTCATATTTTTATTTCGTATCGCAGTTGTGATATACCATGCATTTGATTGTCATTTAACTTCCTGACAGTGGGAGTTTGGTTTTCACCTTCGTTGTCTGTACAGTCCATTGCTCATCCAAGTGCCTAACCACCCACGTGGTCCATCAGTTCCCCTTTTGTTGGTCCGTCTGGTACCCTCTCTGGGTTCCAGGTACTGTGGGAACAGGGATGGTACACTTCTCATTCCACATCCGTGTGGTTGGCAGTGGGTGTGTGCTGGCTGGGTGCTAGCAGTAAGGTACAGGAGCACCCCAATGGGATGTCTGCTCAGCCATGCTCCCTTTCCCTCCCCACGTGCACCCTGAAATGAAATGGAAACAGGCCTCTGGGAGGAAGAGACAGTCAAGCTAAGATGGAAGGACAGAAGGACCAGCTACATGAAGAGGAAGAGAAAACAGTTCTGGGAAGAAGTAACCAAAAACACAAGGACCCCAAGTCTCTGTAAGATCCTCTGGCACTGTTATCATAAATGCCCCTTTTCTGCTTCAGTGACCTCAAATGAGTGTCTGTGGACTTCAACCAAAAGTCC